TTTTCAGCATAAACCTGCTCTCCGGCTCGGTGATGTCGCTGGCAAACAAGGAGAAGCGCCTGCTCTGCTTCGTTCCGATGCCCCATCTATCATTGCTCTGCATGGCCGACGAGGTATCACTTTAGTTCTGTATTTTATAGTTCCTGAATTTAGGTGCGCTACGAGTGGAAGCACGCCGTCCTCTACCAACACATTACAAGTCGCCGGATAGCGCTCACGATGCGCGAGGCCGATCTCAAGTTTACGGTACGTTTTTCTAGATGTTTTGATGGATTCAGAATTTAGTTTGCTCTTCGAAACGTTGGTTGCTATGCTTTTGTAATTTTTGTCGGTCTTTGCTTAGCGTTACAAGGCTGCCTCGCCCTGCGCTTAGGTTACTTTTTCGGCTTTGTCTAGGCTTAGCTTGTCCTTAGCTATCTAAAGCTAAGCTAGACTTAAGCCTAGGTCGAAACTTAGCTTATCTTAGCCTAAAGTTACCTCATACGCCTGAAAAACGAGTTATCTAGGGCGTAGCTTACTGTCAAGCTTACCTTGCGGGGCTAAAAAGAGGGGATTTAAAGCTAAGCTTACCATGGTTTATACAGAGGCTTAAAATTGCCGTAGTTTGGAGCGCCTGGTAGTCCAAAATAGTTTTTCAATTCGTTAAAAATGAGGTTTTCCCTCAGATGGTTTTCTGTTATGTTTATTTACTTTTTCCTGATAGCTATTTCTTTTATTTTCTTATTTTCAGGAAGGCGGCGAGCTCTACGAGAAGTTTGGCCAGGAGCTGATCACGATTGCCCGACAACGAGTTCTGCCGCCCGCGTAGAAGACCAAGCTCCCCGATTGTTGTATTGTGATATCGTGTCCCCCCGTGTAGTGCCGGCTATGGAGAAACATAGCGTGCGCTTCAAGCATCGTCTGAAGCAGTCGCTGGCCGGCGAAACGGTATTTCCGGGATCGTAGGATTTACGTGAGGGTTGCCGGTGCTTGAGTATTTTTAGGGCGTCCCCTCTAGAGTTTTATTATGTAGCGTAGCGATCCATCTGCCTTTTTCATTTCTTTTTGAAGTAACCTGGAATTTGCTATCCTGTTTTCACGTTTTTTTTTAGTTTAGAAAGATTATTGATCCTGATTTCCATTTGTTTGGAAGTAGACATAATTTCTGGTGTTGGTAGAGTATTACGCGCCTTCCCTTTTTAACCTTTTGGGTTTTTTTTAGTAAATTTTGCCTTTTGACGTTTTATTTTTGGTTTTTTGTAGTTACGAAAGGATGCTTTTGCGTTTAGTGAGTTCTTATGTTTAATTTCCACTTTTCTTTAGCGCAAGAATTTTATAAGCGCATAGCTTGTTTTGTATTCTTAGGCTTCTCCTTACTCTTTTCTTTAATAGCAAAACTTTCAAAGTATTAATCGTTTTTTGACGAGTTTAGATTTGAAGCCGTAACGTTTTCTCTAATAATGGAACTACGAAATGCTTACGTGTTTTGGACTCTAGGATTTGTTCACAATTCTGGTGCGCGTGGTTTATTCTTTACGTTTTTGAGTTTAGAATCCAAGACTTCCCGCATTTCTTTTCTTTAAAAGAATAATTTCTAAAGCAACATACTTTGTGTTTTTTATTCTAGTCTTTATACACCCTGGTTTCATTATTCTGTAGTCATATAGAGCGTTCAGGCTTCTAAATTAATTTGATTCGTAGTGGATTTGGTTTGAACCTTATTACTTTAAATTAAACTGCCCCTTCCCTGATAATACTCAAGTACCAGCACATTCGAAAACGGGCGATGGCCTACCGGTCTTTCCCAACGGCCAGAAGCATAAGTTAACGCGGGTTAGGAAGACAAGCTTCTATCTCTCTAATAGGCTTTTGGTCACTAAGCCGCGGAGTTACACGTTAGAAGTAGCAAAAGTTTGTCGCGACATTTCATTTTTACATTTCAGACCTTAGGATGATCATTGAGTCGGTTTATTGCTAAACTTCGAAGTGTGGTTAGCTTTTAAGTTGCTTTGTAACATCTTTGGGCTTCGTGGGCCACTTGGTTACGCGTTGCTCGCAACTCGGAAGCTCTAACCACGCTTCGGCTTAGCAAGAAGCCATACTTAATGATATCCTCCATCGCGACAAACTTTTGATACTTATAACGTGTAACTGCGCGGCTTAGGACCAAAGGCCTAGTAGAGAGTTAAGTGTTCTCTTCCTCACCCGCGTTAACTCATGCTTCTGGTCGTTCGGAGAGACCTGTAAGCCATCGCCCGCGTTCGAATCGCCCTCGCGTAAAGTGTACTGTCCCGGACATACCGTCTCGCCGGCCAATGGCTGATTTAGGGGATGCTTGATACGTTCGCTGTGTGCTCCGTAGCCGATAAGGTGGGGGAGGCGCAAAAATTTTTATAAATATTCAAATATCACAAAGTATGCGACGTTGCATCAGAACCAGTTCAACGAGGGGTTGGGGATCCGGCAGTTTGGGGGGGTCGATTTGCGGAGCCCGAGCCCCCGAGCAAGCCGCTGAAGTCCGAGCATCCGGGTCGACTTGCCGAGCCCGAGCGCCCCGCGCGTCTGAACAACACTGGGAAGTCCGAGCGGCCATCCGAAGCCTCGGCTTCAAGACTTGGCTATGTAGAGCGCTAGCGCGGCTTGTGGTCTCGCGTACTCCAATCTTCTCTACCACCTCAATGCGTGTGATTCCTCAGAGCAGTGACGGCTAAGCATCTTGGCATTGTCTCCCGCGTTTAACTTGAAAGTTACAAGCAGCAATGTCGATTCCGGAGAACAAGACGCGTCATTCCCCCTCGTAGTACGCGTCTCCACCCAAATGTATAACCTGGTGCCTAGCCGTACGAAACCGGACGACTGCCGGCGAAATCCATCAAGCCCTTGCCATACTAGTTAGGCTCGAGTACAAAAACGCCGTTAACGTATAGGTTAGCTCTCTTCAAAAGGGTAAAGCTCAGCTGGATGGGCTTGTCTAAAACTAGCTTCATCTGGGGTGGCTTTAGCCTTGGAATGCCTAACTACTTCGAGCTTCGGACTATCCCTGGTATTGGCTTAAGATTAATGGAATTTCGTCAAGCTCAACTTAGAAATCTACGGACAAGGTAGTAACTTGCTATTCGAAAGGGATTTTAGCAGTGAAGTTAGGTTTTAATCAAAAGTAGAAGCTTAGAAAAACTGGCTTGTAAAAACGAAGCTCAGATTTAAAGGAAGTGTATCTTACAACGTTGTAAAGCTCGTAGAAAGATTCAGAAAACCCGGGAAGCTAGAAAGAAGGTTTAGAAAGCAGAAGCTTAACACCATCGCGTTAATAGCAGCCTTTGTAGAGCCAAACTCTGAATCGGCGCCTCGAGGCAAAGCTGCTTCTCGCGAAGCGCGCAAGTTATCTGGCTTATCAAACGTGAGATGGGTAAAGCTTCTGCCTCCTCCTAGGCCTGCGATCAAAAGCCGCCACGCGGGTTTTGAAGACGGGCGTTCGTTGAAGTTTATTATTGCTCAATGTTTTCAAGATTAAGAAAGGCCTGAAATAAACTAGGCGCGTTTATAACATAACAGGGTTCATTAGGAAGTCTAGACCTTATTACCTTTGAGAAAATTGTAAAGTTTAATACTAGCAGCAGCAAAAAGCAAGGATTTGCGAGTTTTAGAATCCTAGAAAACAACAACGCAAATGGAAGCTGTTTCAAAACGAATATAGCTTCGAAAGCCTTGACTAAAAGCGGCCAAGTCACTAAAAAGTAATATTGTCAGGATAAAGGTTACAACGAAAGCTGCTTGGATGACGCACTGACAAACAAACAAGCGGCCTAGCTTCAACCCCGAAAGTATCTAACGTTTCGTTTGTAAAAACGAAAGTGCCATTCGCGCGGCGATTTGGAGAGTGGTGTCCCAAAGTTGTAAACTTCCCCTGAATTAATGTAAATCAGACATACGGACAGATAAATAACGCGCTTACATACTTCAGAAAAGGTTAGAAGTCTAAACAATCAACGCAAGAGACTCTATTGTCTGCAAATTTACCGCAAGAGCTTGGATATTGTGTTAAAACGCGCGAGACGCTAGTGCAGACCTGAGTTCGACTCTAAGGTTGCTGGGAAAAGTTAAACTTGAAGAACAGGGTTTTAGAATAGAGACTAAGTTTCAGAGTATAGACAAGTTTTAAAGTATGGTTTTAGGTTGAACTTCCGAAAATTACAAGTAAAAAGGTAAACTATCGCCAAATACCAAGGATAAGCCGATTTCAGAAAACGAGCTTCAAAAAGCAAGTCATCAAAGCTAAAGCACGCCCAGATGAAGCTAGTAAAAGAAAAGCCCGCCCGCTAGGCTCTACCCGATCGGAGAGAGCAAACCTATAAAAAACGCTAACGACGCCTAACACTCGAGTCTAATAAAGCACGGCAAAAAGCGACAGTTATCACCGACGCCCTCCAGCTACCGCTAGACATCAACAAGCTTTACATTTGGGCGGAAACGCGTAAAACGAAGCGAAACAACGTACCTCGTCCTCCAAAACCGCGGTCGCCACCTGAAACTGCCAAGCGGAAACGCGGAGAACAATGCCAAAATGCCTAGCCATCACAAACTCTGGCAAATCACAAAATTCACGTGATAAAGAACATTGAAATACGCTAAACTACAAACCACGCTAGCGCTCTACATAGCCAAGTCTTGAAGCCAAGGCCTCGTATGGCCGCTCGAAGCTCCCAGAGTTGTTCAGAACGCGCGGCGCGCCCAGGCCCGGCAAGTCGCCCGGATGCTCGGACTCCAGCGGCAGCTCGGGAGCTCGAACTCCGCAAATCGACCGCTAATGACAAAGTAACGGGGGTGGGTTGAGGTTCAAAAAAAAATAGAAAATACAACATAGCAAAAAAACGGGAGGCAAAGTCAAAATGTACAGACAGCACCAATTGACGGGTAAATGCACACGGGCGGAGGAGCGGAAAGGAGGAGTAGAAGAAGTGAGCGCGAGTTGAGGAGTGGGAAGGGGAGCATGGGGAGAGATTCTTTTGAAGTCGGCTTCATCACGAGCCCATCATCGGTGGCCTGCCGGCGGGGTTGTGTGTCCGTTCGTGTTTCGTCAGATGGTCGGATCGCATGAATTTCTTGCCACAATGACCGCAGGCGAACCGTTTCTCGCCGGTGTGTGTCCTGAAATGGAAGGATTAAAAATTATCTCGAGGTTTCTCGATCAAATTTTTGACCGGCCTTAATGAAAATTTCTTCTAGATAGAGAGAGAATGAGCGCGAGAGAGATAGATAAAGAGAGAGCGAGAGAGAGAGAGAGAGTGAGCTAGAGAACGCGAGAGAGATATCTAGATAGACATTCAGACTGAGAAAGCGAAAGCTAGTTTAAAAACATTTTAGAGAGCGAATCAGAGCGAGAGAGATGCAGCGAGAGGCAGAGAGAGAGAGAGAGAGAGAGAGAGAGAAAAGCTAATGCCAAAACCAACCTGCGGTGCCTTTGCAATTCGTCGCTGCGGGTGAACCTCTTCGTACAGTGCTGCCAGTCACAGGCGAACGGCTTGTTGCCCGCGTGGCCTCTGAAAAAGGTTATTTTTATAAAAGGCGCTTCAATGATTTATACCTCAAGTGGGCGCGTAGATGCGAAGTTTTTCCGTACGTCTTCTGGCATATGTGGCAGATGTGAAGGCGTGAGGGCCGGCCGTCGGGAAGGACACTGAAAACGGGAGAATAAAATTGTAAAGCACAGAAATTAGTTTAACAATAACAAAAAAAGGAGAGAGGGAGAGAGAGCGAGAGAGATGGCGAATAGATTTATTAACGTATTACGTACCCCTTTGGATTCACGCCAACTTGACAGTTCGGACAGGTGCACGCGGAGCGTTTCGGAGCCTTATTTCCGCCATATCCGTAGCCGCCTTCGGCATCAGAGTATCCTGAAAATAAGCAAAACTATCTAAATTTTAAATTTTATGCTCACCATCACTCAAGACGCCCATGCCCTTGTCGGCGGCATCTAGGTCGTACTCGATCACCGACGTCTCGTTGTGCTGTGACGTGTCGTAGCTGAAAAAAAAGAAGTTAAGACTAATCGTCAAATAACATTATGATAAAACTATTTGCTAGACACGCAGTTGCTTACAACTAGAGATCAAGAGAAAGATTAGCAGGGACAGTAATAAAAGAACCTTTTGCCCGCAAAAAGTTCTTTCCCCGCCCGCCTCGCTTTTCGAAAATCAGATGTTTGAGTAACGGAAACAAACCTAAAGAGAAGCTAGAAAGGCAAGCTTCGGACAAGGCTAATCAAAATTTAAGAGCAAGCTAAGCTCAAGCCATATGAAAGAAAAGCTAAGCCTAAAGATAAGTTTAAGAGAAAACTGGGCTTCAAAATAAGCTAGTAAGCTAATAAGCTGGCAAAGCTATAGATTTGTCGAAGCCAAAGCCCAAGTTTCAAAAAAGCTATACGAAGGCTGGACAACTAAGCGGAAGCGAGGAGATGGTAAAAAACGTGCGGTTCAAACCAAAGCTAAGCCCCCAGTTCAGTCGGAGCTCGAAACGCTTAAAACGAAGCTAAACAAAACCGAAGCCTACGCCAAGTCAAAGATAGACAAAAGCTTCAAGAACCAAGAAGAAACAAAGAAACGGGAAACCGTCGACCATGGATTGTATGCCGCCCGCGACACGCAACGCGCATTCCTTCGCTGTGACGCTGCGTTAATCGATGACGCAACGGAAAGGCGGGTTCGTGCGTTGCGTTTCGCGGATACGACTAAATCCATAGTCACCAAGCCTAGAAAAAGAAAGACTAAATACAGAAAACAGAAGAAAAAGCAGCGTAATAAGTGGTAACAAAATTTCCAGAAAAATATGACAAGCCGCACTTTATTTGTTGGGGTGCGGACGTGGTGGCCGGCGCCTCGTTGGTGATGATCCACTTCTGCGGGTCGTTCGGATCTTGTTGGAATTGGAGATTTCCTAAAACAATTGATTTGATTTGAAAATACGACGAACCCAGTGTTATCCGTTGTTGTGCGGGAACGGGCTCAGGCGCTGGAGGGGCGGTGTCCACCTGAAAATGGGAATTTAGTTTTATAAATCATAATTTCGTTTTATTGATTTTTCCTAGAGCTAAATTTTCGTTTAATCGATTTCCACGTGCTCATTTGAAAAGCACTGATTTTCCTAAATAAAAAATGGAAAAATACTTTTCGGCATTTATATTTTTCTTTTTCTATTGAGATTTCCGTATTTTCGAAGCTGTCGGCATAATTTTTGGACCTTTTTTTAGGCTTCGTGAACGGAAACTGTCGAAAATATGAATTTCGAAGCTGTTCTAAAGCCAAATATTACCTTTCCGCTCTCCAGCGTCTCGACAGTCGTATTCTGGGAGATCTGGACAACGGGCTGCATCGTGGCGAGCACCGCCGGCTTCTTCTCGACATTTATTTGGGTGGGCGGGGCGCTGATCGGGATGAACTCCAACTGAAAAAAGTGCGGTTGAAAAAGCTGGCAGTTTTTGCAGGATTTTTAAGCGAAAAAATAGAAAAAAGACGCCAAAATTCTCAACTAATGAGTGCTCAAAAACCCGCTAATTCCGTTACGCAATGAAACTAAGATGACAAACCTGTTGCCCGCCATTTGAGGTGGTGCTGGGCTGGAGGAGGTAGACTTGTTGCGTGGGTTGCTGGCTCTGGTTCGGTTGTAGGAGGAACACCTGAAAACGGAGAGTTGAATGAATGGATTTATAAGTGTGTTTGATTTTCTATTTTTCTCCGATATGATAGGGAAACGTAATCTAGCAAGCCATCGGAGCTAGAAAAGCCGATACGAGGAGCCAACTAACCCGAAATCGAAGAAACCACGAAAAACTAAAATATTTGCCAAATTCTGAATTGTTTGTTTTTCTTACAATTCAAATAAGATTAAATTAACTAAAAAAAGGAATGTAACACGCTGACAAAGCCTGAAAATCCCATTAAACGCTAGAAGAACCCAAAATACGCAAGACCCAAAACTTCCCGACCCGAAAATCATAAATATGGTTTTTTTTCTTACAACCAGGGTTGAAAAACCGCTTCGCGGCTTTTCAACCCTGGCCCCGTCTAGGATCGATGAAGTTATTGACTTTGCATAATCCTTGCCGAAAACCGCTTACCAAAAAATGAAAAGCGCGCCCTCTCTTCCTTTTTATAAACCATTTCCACTTCCGCCGTATGCTAATTGCTTCCTAACAAAGAGGTTGGCAGAAAACTTTACAAAAACCTAATTTTAATATCGAAAATAGCAATTTTTGAAAACTTTTATGTGTGTGCAGTCGATTCCGGACCATCCTTTACCCTATGAAGTTTCTTCCCTACCGAAAAAATGCTTCCCTGAGGCTGTAGGTGCGGAACATCCAAACGGAAGTGCATGCAAATATCACCACACACAAACACTATTTTTTTATATTTAGTAGGATTTAAATATAGTCAAATTAAATAAAAAGATTCGAACTCGCTAACAACGCTTTAAAAGTTGATTCTAATCTATAAAAACCTAAACAACGCAAAACCCGCAGGTTTCCCGCCATAAAATTATATTTTTATGTATTTTGTACAATTTAAATATAGTTAAATAGCTAAAAAAGAGCACAATACGCTATGAAAGCTTTAAAACACGATTCTAACCTATAAACACTTAAATAACGCAAAACCCCAAATTTCCCGCGCATCCCCGGCGGTTTCACCCGAGCCGTACAAATCGATATTCGATCGGATCGCGCCGTCGGCGTGCCGGGCAGCATTTCCAATCAACACATCTGAATTCCAGTTGCTAATCTACCTTTTGCGGGGCGACGCCGTTCGCCTTCTGGACCATGTTGGATGGCTCGGCCATGAGGGAGGGGCCCTGGCTGGCTGGTTGGGTGGAAGGGGGCGAGGAGGAGGGGTTCAGTGTGGGGGTGGGGCGACTGATGCTCCGCCCGCGCCCTTCCCCCAAAGCGTCGCCGCGCGCACGCGACGCATGGGTGTGTCTGGGTGCTCCTGGATGTGCGCTATATTTCTGCAGCACCGCCCCAACCCCCGGGAGAACCGCCCCGATCCCACTGGGGGACTCTCAGGGGCGTGTGCCCGTCTCTCTCTCTCTCTCTCGCCCCCTTTTGTGCACGAGGCTGACAAACAGCTGTGTCTGCCCCCCTCCATGCCTCGCCCATTCTATCCACCCGATCACGCCCCACCAAGGGATTCCAGTTTTTTTTCTCTCACCGTCTGCCCCCCCTCTCTCTCTCTCTCGCCTTCTCTGTCCCTCCACTATGTCCTGATCTCTCGCCCCCACCCGCAAAAAATCTCGACAACCTCCGTCAAATCGTGGAACCGCGCCCGCCGCGCTGTCTCGTCAGTTTCTCTCGAAATGTGCACTAGCTCGCTGGGAAAAATAACTAAGTATTGGAACTATTGAAAACACCCAAAATGCCGACAAGCCGGAATGACGAAAGTCAAAATACCGACAACGAAAACGCCGATAAGCCGCGATGACGCCTATAAAAACACTGTTCTCGCTAGGTTTTTGAAACGGCTATGGTTTCAACATCGGGATCCAATTTTGCCATTCGGCATTTCAATCTGGAACTATCTGGCGGGTTGTCACCTAATAGTTTGGCCTATTGTGGATCAAAGTTCATTTGCAAACGTTTTCTAAGTTTTCTAAATAAGTTTCCCCACTCTAAATCAGCTACCTTTATCAAAAACAGAGTGAAAATAAATGATATTTAATTCCTAGCCATATCGCTTACAACAAAAAATCCATTTTCGTTCGATTTCGCTAGCGGTTGATTTCAGCTTGTCGGCATTATGACTGTCGAAATCTTCAATGTCAGTATTCCAGGGAAACAGTAAAAATGCCGAGAGGCCGGAATAACGGCAACTAAAATGGCGACATGACGATAGAGATCTGCGATATCATGGCTAAAGCTAGCTGTTCGTGCACTAATCTAATGATTTTCACCGTCATTTTGGCTGTGATTTCGGCTTGTCGGTATTATGGTTGGCGAAATTTTGAATGTCGGCATCCGGCTGAAAATCTGCTAATATCTACGAAACCGCTGAATCTAGGCCTAAAAAGCAGGGCCTTGGGTGTAAAACCCCCGTGAGAAGCGTACACCACCACCCGCCCCTGTCCCAAGAACCGGCCACACCCCTTGACGGCGATGTGCCTGCGTCTACACGAGGTCGGCGTTCCCTGGTTTTGGCGGAGAGCCGCGTCTGCCTGGGTCCTCTGCTCTGGCGTAAACACCCATCGCGGTGATGGGAAAAATAAGCACGGCGATCGGTGTAGTTAAATCCAAAGTGCACGAGGTAATAACTAGGGGAAGGAGTAAGACGGCTCAAGGTTGGATTTGTTGTTTCATAACCAAAAATCGTCTCCTCATCTCAAAAGTAGCATCTATACCTACGCTAAATGAAAAACGAAAATTTTCTCAACCCTGAAAAATACTAGAATATCCTATTTCGCAAGTTCTAAAACCGCAAAAAAGCGCGTAAAAGCTGCCATGTCCCTGCCGCTAAAAAGTTTGTACTTTTTTACATTCTCATTAATTAAATTCAAGGATTTTAATAAATACACTTATACTACTTTGAAAATGACCTAGATTAGCAAAACCAATTCAACTAGCTTTATGTGATACGAAAATTGTAAAGCTGCTGCCGATTGAGATTGAGAAAATATCTAGAAATTTAATAAATACAATACACTTTACTATACGATGTTTAAAAAACGCCCAGCTTCCTAAATTATCAAAATCAATTCAAATAGCGTCTAGATCCATAATTGCAAAACTTTCGCCAATAGGAACGCTTCAAAAGAAAGTAAAAAACCCCTCATCTACAAAAAATCTAAGAATGAAACTTCTATGATGAGAAAATCACGCCCACCTTAGCTAAACCGTAAAAAACAATTGAACTAGCTTCATTTTACCCAGGAAATTGTAAAGCTTTGGCCGATAAAAACCCTTCGAAAAAGTAAAAAGATTCAACCACAAAGAATCTAAGAAATAAACTTCTACGATGAGAAAACAACGGCCGCCTTGCCTAAACCGTAAAAAAACCAATTAAACTAGCTTCATTTGACCCGGGCGTTGCAATTTTTTATGCGAATAAGAGTTCGATCCACCGACGACGAGGAGCAGGACAAATCCCGGGCACCCGCGCAGAAAGTCAGCCGGTTTTGCACAAAAAAGCTTGCTGAAGGCGACAGGAGAGCCGCCGAGGGTTAATTGCGAACCTAATATCAGGAAAAACAAGAACATCCTTCGCTATAATCAGGAAATTTCTTCTATTCGAAAAGTTTTCAAATCAGCAACATGAGAGAACTAACAAAAAACTAACTATAAACCCCGATTACGCCTAAATAGAACTTTTAGAGCACCATCCTAACTATTTTAATTATTTACACCGTTAGAAAGTAGTAATACCTTTGGCGCCGGCGGCCACCAGTTGAAATATCCATTGTCCTCTTCGTCATCTTCAAAAGCGAGCACTTTCTTCTCGCCGTCTTCGTACCGCATCTTCGACATGTTTTCTGGAATAGGAACTGAACCTAATCGCAAGAGAAATGTACACAGCGGAGAGGAAAGAAATGATCAACGCAAAAATTGAGTGCAGGCAGAAGGCTCCTTTCACCAACTAAAAACTAAACTTACAAAAGCTAAAGTAAAACTTGATTGGAATAAGGATAAAGAGACATACATAAAAATTTCCTAGTGAGATGCTCTCCTTTTGATGATAATAATAAAGACGGTTAATAAGAAATTCAGCGGCCAGTAAAACAAAAGTCGAAGTTTTAAAGTTTTAAAAACATAGATAAGCTACTTTACAAAGCCCAAAATCTATCTAAATTCGAACGACAAAAATAAACATGTAAAGAAAACTCCATACGCACGCAAAAACCAAAAATTTTTGTTTATTCAAACCTTCAAACCATTTTTCACTTTTTACTTTAACAAGTACCCGTGACCACTTTTATCATTCATTTCCATCGCATGCGTATTTATGGTCAAACATTTATTCATTTTAACACAATCAACTTCTCAATAACAATCAACGATGTATAATCCCGTAGAGAGCACAACATGAAAAACAGAAAAACAAACAATGAATAAAGCGGTGCGTGGGGCTTGTACTGCTTGCCGTCGAGCGCTTGCAAGGTGCTTCGGTCGAATTAGATGCTGTTCACCGGGCTCACTTTCAGCTCAATGTCCTCGGGGCGTAGCTGGAAGTAAAAAAATGATTCTTGTGCATTATCGAGGGGGGTTCTAGTGCAAAACTGCCTAGTAACGTAACAACGAATTTTAATAGTGTTTTCAAACAATTTTGTGACTAACGTGGAAAACTCATCAAAAAACCTAGAAATATTGTTTCAAACTGAATTTTTGGTCGTAAATTGGTAATTATTGGTCGAAAACCTATCTTTTCTGGCATTTTGCATCAAATTTGCAGTTTTACGTTTTGGAATAGTAAAAAAATCGCTTCGAAAAACGTCTTCTATACAAATTTGATAAATCGGACCCAAGAAAAAATTTGGCATCCCCCCGGATAATGCGAAAGCACCTAAGAAATCAGTAAATTTTTTACCTTGCCAGGCGGAGTGGTGGCCTCCTCGTCCTCGTTGAGCGTGGGCAGGATGCGGAGCGATGAGAAAGACGAGTTGAGACGCCCACTAAAGATATTATTGACAAAAAACATGAAGTCGCGTACCCGGATCTGCTCGGCGATTCCATTTCATCCACGAACGTCTCGTCAACCGGCGTGATCGAGATGGTCAGCTCTAAAAGATGTTAGAAAATTATAAAAATTAGAACAGTTATAAAAGTGATCCGCTTGAATTTTAATCATTGGCGTCGAGTTTAAGAATTTATTAAACAATTTTGCCAATTCTGAAGCTAAAATTGCCACAAATTCAGTCAAAAAACACTGCTTTTTCGACAAAATGTCCCATTTTTTAGCAGAAGCGCGCATCAAGCAGAATTTAAAAACTAAAGTGAGCTGTATTCTAAAACTAAAGATCTAAATGTATACCATCCGGGTTTCTGCATCTCATCTGACGGGCGCGGCTCGTCTGCAGGCTGTTGCTGCGGCCCGGAATTCTTGACGGCGACCCGAGCGTGCTGGGAAGGCCGGGCGGGAAATCTAGAAATACAGAAATAAAAACTGAAAAAAATGTGATACCGCCAATGGAGCAGTCCAGCGAGATGGAGTTGTTGAAATTGTCGGGGATCTCCTCGCGCAGCGGTGAAAATTGCACGGAGCGCGACGTCTGGCGGTGGATGTAGGTGAAGCCGACGCAGGTGCAGTAGATGGCGTAGCCGAGGCAGAACCACACGAAGCACACCTAAAAATAGATTTTTTTATCGTCGTCGAGAGATAAAAAATTCCTTCCACGCAAAATAATTCCTACAAAAAAGTTTTAAACCGATCTAACACGGTTTGCTTTCTTTTTAGATCTCGAAAATTAAAATTACAATAAAAACTATACTTTTTGTGCTGTTTTTATTGTTTCTCATCACTCAAACCACATTAGAAGCGTTCTAAAAGTGCCAAAAACTGTCCAAAAAGCTTCGAAAACGTTCAAAAACGTTTTTTCTTGTTCTTACAAAGCTGAATTTTATCCTTACCGGCACTACCGAGAAGCGGAAGACTTGAAATAGACGCGCGGCCAGTGTGCCCGTCTCGACCGCCCTGAGCGCGAGCAGGCTGAAGGAGAAGGTGGACGCCGACCAGCTCGTCAACGGGAGAAACAAGACTATCTAAAACCAGTCATAAATTTCGAATAATTATATTTTACCTCCACCAGCAGCATTGGAAGGAGCGCGAGCGCTGGGGTGAGCCGGCTGCCCTCGCCGTGCGGGCTGTTCGGTGACATTCGGCGAACTTTTCGCATGGCCCACACGCAGCAGAGCACACTAAAAAATAAAAATAAAGTTATCCGCAGGAAAATGAGCACCTGAAGCAGATGAACAAGGAGAACCAGTAGAGAAACTCACGGCAGAAGTCCGGTGAAAAACTGAAAAAAAATTTTTGGTGAAAAGCCGTAAAAACCGACTCTTTCGGCATAAGATGGGCGTATAGGACCGTATTGAAGGGTGTGGAAGAAGCGACGAGGCCCCACCCGGCGATGAGAATGAAGAGCAGCTGGAGGATGAGTAGAAAATGCTAAAGAAACCAGGTAAATAAAGGTAAAAAATAGTTACCTTGACGTGCAGCTGGCCGACGCAGCACCTGCAGTATTCGACGCCGCGGCTGCGCTGGAGGATGGTGGCTGTTCGTTGGCTGTTGCGGCGCCGAACGAGGGTTGAGCGGCGGACGAGACTGCCCGTCTCGACGCCATTGCGGCGGACACGCATAGGTTACGGGTACCTGGAAAAAACTAGATAAAGCCAGGAAAGTATGAGCGCAAGAAGAAATGGAAAGTAGCATTTTTACCAAGCAAATAGTGCTAAAAAGCGTTTTTGATGTTTTAAAGCTCTGTAAGCTACTGCTACTGCGAAAACGCAAAGCTTACGAGTACCTGGGAAGAAAGCTAATGAAAAAACTAAAAAACTAGGAAAGCAACAGGAATAGACAATAGAGCATTTACCAAGAAAGAAGTAAGTGTAAAAAGTGCCTATCAGCTTGTTCGAACGCGTGAATCTTCGAAATATTGCAAAGCTGAGCCAAGACGTGTTTTTGACGGTTTTCAAGCGCCGCGAGTCACTGCCACCGTGCAAAAGCTGAGATTACGGGTTACCGGGAAAGAAATCTAGCGCAAAAGAAAGACGGAAAACAGAAAGAAATAAAAGGTAAAAGAATTAAGACGTAAGAAGATTGCAAAAAACGGCAACCGAGGCCGCGAAACAACTAAAACAGGTAGTAAAAGTAAGGTCAGGTAAAACAGACTTGTGAACAATCGAAGTATTGCAACACCAAGCTAAACTGATTTTAAAGCTCTGCAGTGCAACAAATTGCTGGGTTTCCAAACGGATAAGTTCAAAAAGCACAAGAATCGTGGCCGCGAAGACCAAAAAACCTCGCCATACCTCACAAAAGCAACGGTTTACAAGTTTTTTACATAAAATTCGCGAACTAGATATAAAAAGTTATTTTTATTGATTGTATTTACAATCCTAGACCGTATTCTTTTCGTCGCATTTAAAAAAAAAGAAAAACTGGGCGAGAAAAACGGAACGCTACCATACCGTATTCCACGTAATGGTGGTGCATTCGTACTATTTCATATCGTAATGGACTTTCCAAACTAAAAATAAAACTAAAAAAAAGAAATGTATTTATTTTATTTCCTCTGCATCTAAAAAACTATCAATCTAGCTGTCTGTCTGTTCTTCGGAAAAAATGCGAATTTTCAAGCGATGGGATGCGGTTTTACATAATTTTCGAGCAATTTTATTCATGCTTTCTTTTCTGGGATTTTGAACAAAGTCTTCTTAAAATAAACACAAATGCGAGGATGACAAGCACAACGGCGAGGAGGACGACCAGAATTACGTCAAGCAAGAAGTACTCGATGAAGGAGGCTGGCGACCATGTGGGTCGAGCTCGGTCAGCGGGCCTAAATTGCTTTGTAAGAAGTTTCTAAATAGTTTTTGTCATTTTTCTTGGGCAGCTTGAGCCCTGTGTCATGCTTTTCCCTACCGTACGCCGCCGTAAACTCCGTGGTTTTCAGGAGAACTTCACGAGGCGGAAAGGGCGATTGCCCAACATCGCGGCCATCCGCTCCGCATTTTTGGTTAGCCTAAAAAGGAGATTTCCTCGAAATACCGCTAAAACTCACGTTTCATTATCCAGCAGCTCCCGTATCGCCGACTCCAACTTGGCGGCATCGCCCAGCTCGAACTTGTTGTACTCCAGCGTGCTGCCCACGGCCGACCAGCTTCGCGTTGGCGAATTGATCGGCAAAGAGGGGCACGACGATGGCCTAAATTTAGCATTGAGCTGCATGCAGAAGAACTTACTTTTTTTGCCTCGCCAGGTAAACTCGTTGACGCTGCCGGCGCCGCCGTGGGTGATGAACGCCGTCAGGCGGTTGTCGGCTGAAAAGGGGAAAAAAATAAGTAAAGCTTCCAAAGCTTACCGAGTAAGTCGGCTTGCGGCACCCAGGGATGTAGAATTAAGTTTGGAGCTTCTTGGGCTTCTGGAAGCTCTTCGGGGCTTCATATTTCCAGATGAAGGTGACGTCGGGAAACTGAAAAATCTTTGGTTCTTCGCATTATCGGGGGGGGACAAATTTTTTGGTCAAAACGGAGCCATTTTTGGTCGTAAAACCTATATTTTTTGCATTGTTTAATGGATTTCCAGTCATTTCGCATAATTTTCATTTCTCGCATACCGCCATTTCGCATAATTGTATTTCGCATAATTTTATTCCGCATAAGGGTGGTTTCACCCTGTAACGCTTATTTCGTTATAACGCTGATTTCGCATAACGGTGGTCTCGCCTAACCGTCATTTCGCATAACGATCATTTCGCGCCAATTTTCATTTCAGCTAACAACCATTTCGCATAATTTGGATTTTGCTTAACGGTCATTTCGCGCCAATTTTCGCCATTGGCAGCCGATGGTATATATAACTCTAGCTTGCCAGTAATTAGCAATCGATGAAAAGCAATCTAACTGCGCGGTTTTTTTGCGCCCTTCCGTGCAGATATCCCAAGCTTGCTCAAATCCA